ACTGGCCTTGAGACTTTTTTCCTGGGTTGCTATTGAACTGTCGACGTTCGCCGGCTGTTTTTGAATGCTCGGGTTTCCTTGCCCACTGATTCGCTTTGTTTCCGTAGCCGTGCGCTTGAGTTTGCTGTAGTCTTGGCGCACCAAATTGGTTTCACTGTTGATATTGGCGTCTTCTTTCGACGTCCGCCGTTCTTCTATTTTCAAACTGGATTGCTAGCTCAAATAACTTTTCCAGTGTAGTCGGATTTCTTAATTCAATAAAGTCTTGTACTTGGGGCAAGTAACCTAGGCAAAATCACTTGAATTATTTCAGGATCCGGACCGGTTTTTCCATACAAGAGTTTGAAAGACGTGTATTTTTCTTAAAATAAAGCTTGAGAGATTTTCGATTCGTTGCTGGTATATGCTGAAGAGTTCCGCTTCCAATTTCGCACGATTTCTTACGACAGGGAAGGCCTTTACTAGGGGCAGTCTTGAAATTTTCGTAAGTATAGGTGGGACTTCCTGCTTGACCCAAGAGACTTTCTGCCTATACATTTGAACCAGTTAAGCGCTTGGCCCCTCAAAGCGCTGGTAGCTAAGGTAACTTTTTGAAACTCGTGCACGGGGTAGAGCATGAAGTGGTCATCCAATTTTTTGAAAAAACTGGTTACCGGTGAGTTTCCATTAAATGTTGCTTCTGGTTTCATCGAAGCGCGCATGGTCTGGACGATGTAACCAAATCCTTCCAGGGCGGCAGCTGGCATTTCTGGAGTCTGAGCCGTTTCTGCAGGCAGCACATGTTCTTCTTGAAACTCGGCCATGGTTATTCTTCTTCGTTGGGCGCCACTATCAGGTTCAATGTTCCTTCTTACCTTCTTCGGGAACATGCAAGGACCTGACTCGGAACAGAGAGCTTACTAAAGCTATGTTCAAAACTGTGGGAAGTAAACAGGATACACAAGAAGGGTATACAAAACCCTTTATTTTTCTCTATTTACAAAAACTTCCGTACTTCGGAATACACCGACCCGCTACTTGGGGTCAAAACGTAAAAGTATAAAAATAAAACTAAACTCTAATTTAACTTTAGAATAATAAACGTAGAAGATTGGGATTGGCCTTATATTAACAGGAAGCGTATGTAGTACAGAGAACTGTGAACACTACAATACGTTTAAATTTATCAAGAGGATTAAAACCTCTGGCCTGGAAGGCAACAAGCAACTGTGTAACTTCTAAGTTAAGCGGCCTGCTTCGACTCCTGCTTCCTCTCTCTCGCTTGGCAAAAAACCACAACTTAAATACTTGGCGTTCGCCAGACAAACTTTGCATAAAAACCTTAACGCTATAATTCTGGCCGGAAGTAGAAAATAAGAAGTGATAGTAAAGATTTAAAATAAAATAAACGTTAGTAAAACTTAAGATCCTTACAAAGTAAGCAAAAGGCATTTATGAACGAAACAAGGAAACTGAATATGTAATTCATCAGTCATTTGTGAAGCAGAATTTTTAAAATTAGATTATTATTTATTTATTTGTATTTGTTGAATTTGTGCTATTACAATTTGACCTCTGAAATATAATGATGCTGAAATCAATCCCATAATTATAAATCAATCAATGAAGATAAAATATGCGCTTGTTTAAATTCTTTTTTAATATATTAAAAGCTTTTAAGTAATTTCTGATTTTTTAATATCCAAACTTAATATTGGTTTTAACTTCTCTGAGGAAACAATTGTAAATTATCAATAATGTTTTAATGTTTTGCAACTATTCATAAAATGTGTTAATAAACTTAAGGATATGAAAAGCGTGTATCAAAGCTTCTGACAAACAGACCTAATAGCATAAGTATCGAATACGAAAACGAGCATTTTGGCTAACATCCCTTTGGGCTAAAAATATTTAAAAACAGCATAGCTTTAGAATTTCTGATAGAGAATCTCGCGCGCTGGAGATAAAAATATTTTATTCCATACAGTTTGTTGTCACTGCTTACTTTGAAATGGTTGAGTTTCTTAATCAAAAGTTCGTTAAAGTTGGAAAAATATGAAATAGATAATGAAAATAATTAGAAATTCAAGATTCGGGCTTCCAAGTGCCCGTATTCGGGTGAAGGACTATGTTATTCGAAATTTGATGGCTCTCGCTATTTTTTCACAGTGAGAGAAACATACATTCATGCAGATTATTAATTATTTTATTTCTTGAAATATACTATAGGGGGATAATATTTAGTGGCAACAATTTGAAAACTGACACAACCCTTTAGAATGATTTGACGCAAAATGCTGTTTCGAGCCCTTCTGGGCTAATAGCTCTTTGGCCTGAAAAATGATGAATAATCTCAATCTCAAAGTATAAAAATAGCAAACTAATGAATTAATTAAGTTATTATGATTAATTAAGTTCATTAACATATATTAATTAAAGAATTAAGTTTACTATAATTTTCCTTTTCTACTAACAGGATTTTCACGATTATATTGCAGATGAAAATGCAAATTTTAGTACAATTTTTAAACTGGTTAGGCTTATAAAATGCCAATTTTTCATGTTCTTTTTTTTTTTTTTTTTTTTTTTTTTTTTTCATGAGATATTTCACAGCTAGTTTTTTATTATAATGCATATAAAGGGCCTATTAAGATAATAGAACACATAACATTTTTTTAATTATGACGTAGGACCATCTTTAGCATGTACTATCGACAAGGAATAGAGTTATACATTTATAAACAGTTGTTAAGAAATCGTTTCCCTTTTTACTTCCTTGTAAATAAAGGAAGCATTGTAATCGCGAAAAATTTTCCGTATTATATTTCAAGGAAAATATCCATTTTGACCGCTTTCGAATCCATTCGAACGATTTCTTTGTCTGACATCTGCACGTACGGACAGAATAAAGAACTTCTTTTTTTCCAAAACAGATTGTAAAATGGATTCAGGAGGAAGTTTTTCGTGATACATATATTTCATGATGCGAGATACGTTTAAAAACATTAGCCAATGAATGTTGAAATTTTGTACATGGATCTACTGTAACATCTGCATGTGCGCCCCTTGGTGCACCAACTTCAACATATTTCTGTCCAAGGGACCAAAAGTTTAAATTTTTGCCCACCGAAAATTTTGTCTTTCTCTCGTTTGTCGAACTGCTTGTTTTGTCGCAGAAACTCTTAATTGCAAAAAAGAAAAAAAATCCGAAAGCTTTCAAATTTTATATTACGCCCAAAGAGTCGTTTTTTTTTTAAACATTTTGTGTGTTACCTCTCTTTATTAACTATCATGTTCTTCGCACTTAAACCATAAAATTAAATTTAATAACAATATCACAAAATATTTAAAAGAGCATATCTTTAGAATTCCGATACGCAGTCTCGCGCGCTGGAGATAAAAATGTCCTTTCCCTCCGTACAGTATTGCCATTGCTCGCTTTGAAATCGTTTAATTTCTTAATCAAAACTCATAAATGTTTTTAAAATATGAAATAGATAATTAAATAAATTCGAAATTCAAAATTTGGGCTTCTAGATGCCCATATTCAGGTGGAGACGTACGTTATTTAAAATTCGATGGATCTAAGTACCGTTGTTTTATCATAATGCGAGAAACATATATATATTTATGCAGATTCTTCATTATTTAATTTCTTTAAATATAATACACGACTCTAAGATTTGGCGGAAACAATTGAAAAAGTGATTCGCCGTTTATAGTGAATTAACGCAAAATGCCAAAACGAAATTAATAGCCCATCTGGGCGAATTGCCCCTTTGGGCTAAAAATTGTTTTTCTTGAACTGTTTTCAACTGTATTTGGTAATTTAGGATTTTCTGTATCTTACAATTTTTAATGAAGATATTTGAGTTTTTATTTATTTTTGCCTTGCCGTGAAGTGAGAACTGAATTGATTGAATAAGAAATATATCTCTTATGAGATTTGAGGAAATAAGTTTAAATGAGGTGTAGCAAAAAATGTGTGTAATTTAAGAGGCAGTACAATATAAGTCATATGGTGACCTATGGAAAAGTCGTCCAGAGAAACAGGAAAAATAAATATGAAACATTTTGAAAGTTTGTGTTAAATGACGAAATATAATGACGCAACGGAATGAAAAACAGTTTGTAATTCATGCTAACCGAAATTCGTGTTAACTAATAAAACTCCCTGTAAAATCACATATATCGCTGCCGGGAAGCATATTTCACAAGTGAACATCTGTGTAACCACCGAGGGAGTGCCTTCTAGGATGGATCAATGGGCATACAGTGTACCTTTCGATGCTTTAAGATTTAAGCAAGATGGTTGAAAATATTTTGCCACGCAATTTTTCTGTACAAAATAATTAAAGCTTTGTCGATTTCTTCTGAAAATCTTCATTGCAAAGTTCAAATATAAGCAATTGTGAAGATTTCACTGAAAGAATTTCAAATAAATATAAACACATGTTAGACACTCCGCAAAAATATCCATGTGAAATATTACTTAATAAAAGGTGAATAAGATGAATAAAGAAATATGTGATGAACATCTGTGCCCAAATGATATCTTTACATAAAACTGTGCATATGAGAAAACTATTTACACAAATCATATATGTAAATAGAAGTCAGCACTTTTTATTGCAATCTATATGAAAAAGATGTTCTATAGTAATAGCCAATGCAGAATTTTATTCAAAGTGAACTTTACTAATTTGCATTCGTATTCATTTAGTGTGTTAAATTTCACAGAACTGCCCACTCTTAAATATACCGTCTACACAAGAAATACTCATCAAACACTTTCAGTCCTTCTCATCTCAATTAAAAAAACTATAAACTTGAAATCTGTTAATCCACATGTGTTAGCAAATGCGTAATATTCGAGGCTAATTGTAGCGTAAGTTATTTTCTCGATGTAAAGAGCCATAATATGCCACGAACATTAATCCAAATAATAATGCGGGATAAAAATCGCGAAAGTGAAATGTCAGCTATGTGTCTTATAAGTTAAATAACTTTATACCAAAATACACTGATTTGTACATTAATGATACTTACCAAATGGAATCGAAGTTGAATTCTTCCAGTTCATTACCATCAGCGTCAAAATATTTATCTACTGTTAGACTATCATCTGTATCATGAGCAGACACAAAATTCGTCACGCTTCGGCAAGGGATACCAAGAGCTCTGCAAACTAAGCGATAAACATTTGTCAAGAAGTATAAAAATATTGTTGTTCAATAAATAAATTTAATAGTATGGCGATACAAACCCTTAATATATAATAGAAAAAATTTATCACTGTTTTTTTATAAAACATAATGTTATATACCTTGATGTTTCTTTCTTCACACTGTTTTCTCCGCAATGATTTTAAACATTTTCTATGCATATAATTTCACACACAGTAATTCTTTAAGACACTTTTCACGACGTGCGAAACATTCATTTATATACACAAATAGCAATAACTCGTTCAAAAATAAGCCAATTCGTATATTTGAATATGTTGTTAAATAAGAATTGCTGAGTTAAAGTGCAATAATCAAATTAGTGGCGTTGCAATAGAAATACGTCTTCTACGAGGAGCATGAAATTTCATTTTCAGAGCAAGCCTGCGCATTTCGCTGTGACACTGAGATAAGAAGTCGTCTGGTAAAGCCAATTTGAAATTACCTACCAGGCATCGTTTTCCCGAAGAACTGCGAGAGAGTTATTTGGAGACTACAAGCGAGACAAAGTCAGAGGAAAGTGGCCAGATGGCTAAATGTAAGCTCTTCTGTGGTTCATAGACTTTGGAAACAAATTCTGACCACAGATTTGGCATCCAGAAAGTTCATCCAAGGACAGCCAATCGCTACGACGAGCGCTGATGACTGATATTTGTTGTTATGCTCAAAGAATAAAACCTCAATTCCGACTCAACTCAAATACCCCTTTGGTGCAGCCACTGGAAGCTTGGTGTCAACATAAACCGTGAGTACAAGACTTCACGCAAAAGGTCTGTAAGCGTGGCCACTAGTCATTTGCGTACCTCTCATGTCACGTCACAGCAGGGAATGTTTGAAGAGGGCACGTTGACATGTCCACTGGATTGCTGATCAACGGAACTCTGTTCTCCTTACGCATGAGTCCAGGTTTAGCGGTTGATTTGGAGAGAACTTGGAACCCGTTATCATTCGTCAATGCATGCGGAGGAGGCAGTGTCTGTGTTTCGGGTGGTATCTGTATGGGTGGAAGCATTAACCTCCATGTCTTTCCACGTGGAACCACGAATGCTCAAGAGTATAGATATGACATCTGTGATGTTTATGTGCTCCTTATGCCGGGACCAACAGGTGATAATTTCCTAATACAGGACAACTACGCTAGACCACACAGGACTCGCATCCTGGATTATTATCTTTAGCAGCAAGCAATTCAGCGCATGGAGTGACCCGCTTGATCACCGAATCTGAATCTTATCGCGCAAGCTTGGGATGCTTTAGTGAGACATATAGCTGCTCCCAATTTTTCTCTTCAGACCCTTGTTACGCTTGCAAGAACAATGGCTCTCACTTCCTGTGGAACTGGTAGACTGCATAATTGACAGCATCGCACATCGCTGCATGCGTTGTATTGCTTCTAGGAGAGATCATACTCCATACTGAAGATAATTTTCCTATACCAAAGTGACACATTCGACCGTTTCCTTTTATACATATGCTAATTTTTATAACTTATAATTGTCTGGTAATTTCTTTTCATGTTACTTTGTACCTTACTATGTGTTGTATTTTGTAGGTCAGTTGCATTAACTTCTACATGTACTTTTTCTGTTTTTGAGTAACTGTCATTTTCCCTATAATCAATATGCTTGTTACATAAGTAAAAAAAAAAAATCCTAGAAATTATCTTCATCCCGAATTGTGATTGTTGGTCCACCAATTTGGTTCTTTTCTTAAACTCCTTAAATTTCAACTGCGGGAAAAAAAAATGTTCACATGTAAAATGTATTACCAAATGAAGCGGCTATTGTTGTTGCAAAAATTCGTTATTGAGGGTATTTATCTTCTGACAAACACGTATAAAATTTAATCAAATCTACGTACATCTTAAATATCTATTTAAACTACTTAACTACTATCTTAAAAATTGTACATCTTAAAATATTTTATTAAAATTTATACAACCGTGTAAATTAATTAGCTTCATTTGTAGATTTTCTGGGGCATTACTCAAGTTTGTTTTTAATGATAATGAAAATAACCTAAAATTGGAGAAGACATCGTTAAAACCTTACTATTTCTTCAAATTCTTGTCATAATAGTATTACTTAATTGAAGGGAAATCTATTCGCAGACCGTCTAAATTTATGCCGCTATTGTTGCTATGATGAATGTCACTTGTACATTCTACAAAACAATACTTAAGAATACAAAAAAGTAGGAAGAAATCGCTTTTTTTTTTCTAAATTATTTTTGCTAACACTGCTTCAGTACTGTTCAACTTAACGAAAAACAGCTTATAAAGCCATTAGAATTTTTTGAAGCAGGAGACGTGAAAAGTGAGCAATGCCTCGTCGGGACTCGAACCTGGACCTCCGAATGTACTACCATTACACCACAAATGCGTTCAGAAAAGAGAAAGAAAATACCTTATGTACTCCCTCTTTTAAAGGAGGACTTGTAATTAGAGGACTCAGTCGCCAAACCCTGGTGGCGAAGAATCATCATCCACCACCTTTTAGTTCTTGCGCCGCTGTAGAGTTATTAGGACTTTGGAGCAGGAGACCTGAAAAATGAGCAATGCCCTCGCCGGGACTCGAATCTAGACCTCTTGAATACGCTTCGAGTGTATTACCGTTACACCACGAAGTCATGGAGTAAGGAGGGAGAAAATATCTTAGTTTCAGTGCAAAAAGCGATTCTTGTTGGGTAATACTTTAGTACTAAGTGAGGATATTTTCGACATTATTCGAGTATTTAAAAGATTTTTTTAAGTGATCGTACAACCCTTCTGCATGAAAGCATTGTTTTTTTTAAAGAAATTACAGCAGTAGCTAAAGTTCATGCTTTACGTAAACAATTTACGTATTACAATCGGTTATAAGATGTATGTCATCACAAAAGAGTCCTTCTTATCAAACTAGATAAAGAGAGTACAGATAAATTTTTCTCAAAATGGATGTCTTCTAAGTGAAAAAAAAGTCAATGCAAATAATATGCAGATAGAAAAAAAATGAGATAACAATCACCATAAATGTCCATTGTAAGCGAACCGTACTTTAAAAGCACTTAAAGAACGAGAACAAAACGCCTACTTTTATTTATCTAAGTGCTGCTTCTTAAGCATGACATACACTTACTTTTTCAAACAATTCTTAAAGATTTATTGCAATAACTTAGTCTGAATACTAAAACTCAGTACAACTTTTTTCCCTTTCTTGATCTCGTATTTCGAAAACAAGATGATAACGCAGGAAAGAAAATGTTGCATGTAAATTTTATTTTAAATTTGATTATCAGTTGTAATTTCAGCTAAGATGCCTTGCCGACTCTCGTAGTACTAAAACATACTTGAAGACTTAAATTACTTTAATGTTAGAAAAGGAAAGGCGGAGTATTACGTGTATTTGAATGACTGACTATTTATGCCTTTATCTCGACTTCATTTCTTTGAAGTTTAACGTGCCTTGGCATTTATTGACTAAGTAAAAATTAGCAAATATGAGGTAAATGAAGCTTGGCAATAGCTATAGCTTTACCAGTGAGCTCTACTTAAAGTATAATAAGTAACATTTAAAGCTGAGTCAACGTATATTAAGTAAGATTTAAAGCTGAGTCAGAAAACCTTTCAAATACCTAAATAAGTGCTAGTAACTATTGCTGAATGACAGTTTACCAGTTTTATAAGGTATTTCTCCTTCCTTCTTAGCGTGCTTTCGTTGTGTAGTAATCTGCATCCTGGGCGCGTATTCCAGAGGTCCGTGGTTCAATTCCCGGCGAAGACGTTGCTCATTTTTCATGACTTCAAAAAATATCTAATGTCTCTACAGGTTCACTGTATTTTAGTTTATATTTACCTTGTGAGGTTTATCTATTTATTTTTAACTAATAGTTATTTTTAAGTTAGCACTTTCCTATTACTCTCTTTTAAACCACGCCTTTCATGCCAGAATATAAATAAGGCAGCGAGCGTTTATTCAAATTAAGGTAGAAAGAAGTGTTATTTAAGCAAAAGTTTCGGAATTTATTTTTAGAGCGTCTCTGCCTATTCCAGGCCACGTTGTGCCGTGATTATTAGCGACTTGATTAGTGGCGTTGAGTGCTTCAAGCCATTCGGCCTTCTCTCGCCGGTTTTTTACAAATCAAAGCCTTGCCTGAGCGTTAAATTATCCTGTTAGCCATTAGGCTAGTCTACCACATTTTGAATTTTTTCATCGTTACGTATTTCTGGTAAGCCAGAAGTGCTTGGCTTGTGTAAATCCAAGTTGGGTAATTGCTAAGTTTGTGTTCGAATAAACACCCTTCTTCTGACTTTTGTTTTATTTCACAAGGCTAGAAGATAATTCTTCAGTAGACTTTTTTAAAGTCTATAGTGTATGTTCCCTAACAGAACTAGACTTGTAACCTTTTGTAGGTTATTTTTCACCAACAGAGTTTTAATTCTGCTTTAGTATCTTCCAGCGTTCTCGGAAAGTTTTCGTGTTGCTTAGCCAACTAGTGGAAATGAACAGTAAAGTCTATCAAGTGTTAGCTTAAGAGGTCGAAAAGTTAGATTTTTATAATATTATAAACATATATAAATTTTAAAATATAATATTGTACACAGAATGGAGTTAATTAAATGTCGCATCCTCAGTGTAACTTTTTTTTACTTATTATGTGCTCCACCCTTAGGCACTACACGAAAAGGAAGGTATGCCCCGTGGAGGTCTTTTAAGGGAAACTGGCTCGTATCCACGTTACACATGTGTAAAACCACGAAAACGCCCATGCAGCCAGCCCGTTCGCCAGAACTCGAACCCCCGACCGAAATACCAGTGTTCAGCTGCTTTTACCACTCGACCGCTGGTGGGCTTTCAATGTAACTTGGGAACCGTTATTCATTCTTTTGATTTTATTCATTATACCGATTCGATTACATTCATTTTATTTATTATACCTGTTTTATTTATTCTTCGGATTTTTTTTTTTTTGTTTTTTTTTTTTTTGTATTTAAAACATATTATTGTGTAAGAAGAAATGTATTTTTTACCCTAACCTGTTGTGCATACTCCAGAGAAAACCCAGCATTGTCCGTATCTCACGGGTTTCCCGCCACTGGACAGATATTGTTCAAGAATCGCAGAACTACCCGTCCAACTCCATGGAGCAGTGCCATCCTCATAGTTTCCAGACCAGTTGCCAATTAGCACACCGTTATCGTCATTGCTATTAACCTAAAATTATAATTCAATGAAATATTATATATCAAGCATTCGAAGCATCGATTTTTTTCAGTTTCAAAATTTTTGAAAAGATTGTATGAGTTTATTTTCTTTCATCTTTTTAAAATTAGCAAATTATTTTGCACTTACTGATTTTCGAAGCTTTTCTTTCGCTCAGTAATGGTGTTTGTCGCAATGGTCAAAAGTTCCTCATTGATTTTTAAATCCTTTCCTGATTAACTATCGAGTTCAAATTTTGTACACATTCTGTTTGTGGATAACAATATAATGTGGTCAAGCGAAATTTTCGAAATCTAGTTTAGAATTTTTTTAATATAATGTTTAAAAGATTTTTTGCACATATCTTCGCTAAACGGAGAAACTAAAAGTTTTGGAATTTTACTGTTTGCACCATCGTATACAGAGAAAAAAAATCTTTAAATGAAGTTCAAATGAGATTTTTAACATAATTTCTAAAGTTTCGATAAAATCGCCAAATTTTTTTAAGCGCTGGTGTAACAGAATTGTTGGAAGCAGAAAAGTGATTATTCATTGTTGAAAAACGATGTTTCGATTGAATAATTTGATTGATAACGTGTCATTGACTCAAAAGAGATGAAAATAAAAAAGAATTAAAAATATCTCATGAAATAATTCATGAACTGGAAGTTGAAATATAATTTAATGTGAGCAACAGATTAAATGACTCTCTTTATAATTCATTAATAACTTTTTCTAGCTTGAGTTACATTATGAAAGAAAAAAAAAGTCGGTAACTTAGCAAAACTTAATTTTTTGCTGTCTTATGTTTCTAAGAAAAAGAGACTAAACGTATTTCGAGATAAAAGGAATTCTTCTTTTTCATTAGTAAAATTTGAGTAGTGTAGTTTTTCTATTCAACAAAAAGTATAGGGGCTACTCAGAATAGCTAAATATTTTGCTTAGAATATCTGTAAATTTATATCATGGTTCTAGCAATAAATAAGAATTTGGAAAATAGTATTTTGCAGTTTAATGAAACATACTCACGTTTTAAAAAATTACATTAGACAGGCCATTTCCATTACAGTTAAGTCAATATTGCAGATGCGCATGATAATATCGCATAGCACACGGCTACAGTTCTACGGCTACAGTTCGAGAAATTTCACGCATTAAGTATCTGAAGTTTACAGATGTAGTAGATTTATTGGCTTTGGATTTGATACATTAAAATAGATTCAAATCTGAATCGAACGATCCAGACTGCTAAGTCAGTTGGCTGAACGATATGAAGAATATTCCTGTTTACCTTTGCAGTGTATATAGCAAACACCGTTCTCTTAAAACTAGGGTATGGCATAACACCGTCTTATTGAAATCAAACGTCAGCAGAAGATATTTCGCTGTGTTGCATTGAATTATACAAAATTTCTACGCACAGCTGCGAAATTGCATTAACTGTAGTTTTTAAGACGTAAAAAAAAATCTCAAGAAATTATCATGCAATTTCTTTCTTAACAATACCAGTGTGTAACCTTGCCCTATTCTCTAGTAATATTGTCATAAAAACGTTAGGTAAAATTCACCTTCATGGCTGCCCTATTTAAAGAAATTTACGTTTCATACTCCAGCAAAAGAAAGCTATCAATATTCAACTCCATATCCTGTTTACTTGTAGGGCTGTTCTTAAGGTATGTAATAAACTACGTTTAGGACACATCTGCTAAATATACCAATAAATATCTTTAAGAAATTACTAAAAATGTAACTTTGAACAGATTAAACTGTACAATTAAAATATTCGTACCCTGATGCGTTATAGGTCATGCTTACCATAGCCGATATAGCACGCACAACTTTCACCGGGTTTCCTCTTGAAGAGTAGTCTAAACCTGACCTTTCTAGAAGAAATACACTAGCTGGTAATACAGCATCTGAAAACTGAATACATCACAAGTTTTAAAGCAATCTGCATACACATAATGTTTATTAGTCTAATGATAATTAAACTATTTACAAAATGTTTTTAAAAGCTGTAAAACATATTTAATTAATGAAGCATAAATTATATCTATCAAGGAATATAGGCATAATGGCAGTGTCAGTAAGATATTCTGTAAGGATCTTAAGTTTTACTAACGTTTATTTTATTTTAAATCTTTACTATCACTTCTTATTTTCTACTTCCGGCCAGAATTATAAGCGTTAAGGTTTTTATGCAGAGTTTGTCTGGCGAACGCCAAGTATTTAAGTTGTGGCTTTTTGCCAAGCGAGAGAGAGGAAGCAGTCAGTCGAAGCAGGCCGCTTACCTTAGAAGTTACGCAGTTGCTTGTTGCCTTCCAGGCCAGAGGTTTTAATCCTCTTGATAATTTTTAAACGTATTGTAGTGTTCACAGTTCTCTGTACTACATACGGCTTCCTGTTAATATAAGGCCAATCTTCCACGTTTATTATTCTAAAGTTAAATTAGAGTTTAGTTTTATTTTTATACTTTTACGTTTTGATCCCAAGTAGCGGGTCGGTGTATTCCGAAGTACGGAAGTCATTGTAAATAGAGAAAAATAAAGGGTTTTGTATACCCTTCTTGTGTATCCTGTTTACTTCCCACAGTTTTGAACATAGCTTTAGTAAGCTCTCTGTTCCGAGTCAGGTCCTTGCATGTTCCCGAAGAAGGTAAGAAGGAACATTGACCCTGATAGTGGCGCCCAACGAAGAAGAATAACCATGGCCGAGTTTCAAGAAGAACCTGTGCTGCCTGCAGAAACGGCTCAGAATCCAGAAATGCCAGCTGCCGCCCTGGAAGGATTTGGTTACATCGTCCAGACCATGCGCGCTTCGATGAAACCAGAAGCAACATTTAATGGAAACTCACCGGTAACCAGTTTTTTTGGAAAAATTGGATGACCACTTCATGCTCTACCCCGTGCACGAATTTCAAAAAGTTACCTTAGCTACCAGCGCTTTGAGGGGCCAAGCGCTTAATTGGTTCAAATGTATAGGCAGAAGTCTCTTGGGTCAAGCAGGAAGTCCCACCTATACTTACGAGAATTTAAAGACTGCCCTACTAAAAGCCTTCCCTGTTGTAAGGGATCGTGCGAAATTAGAAACGGAACTTTTTAGTATATATCAACAAAGAATCGAAAACCTCTCAAGCTTTATTTTAAGAAAAATTCACGTCTTCAAACTCTTGTATGAAAACCGTCCGGATCCTGAAATAATTCAAGTGATTTTGCCGAGGTTACTGCCCCAAGTGCAAGACTTTATTGAATTGAGAAATCCGACTACACTGGAAAAGTTATTTGAGCTAGCAATCCAGTTTGAAAGTAGAAGAACGGCGGACGTCGAAAGAAGACGCCAATATCAACAGCGAGACCGATTTGGTACGCCAAGACTACAGCAAACTCAAGCACACGGCTACGGAGGCAAAGCGAATCAGTGGGCCCAGTGGGCAAGGAAACCCGAGCATTCAAAAACAGCCGGCGAACGTCGACAGTTCAATAGCAACCCAGGAAAAAAGTCTCAAGGCCAGTGGAAAAAGAAGGAAAGCATGGAAACAAAAAAGGATTTAAACTAAAACGGATTTCTGCTGACGGGAGGGTGCGGAAATCCGAAGGCCACGAAAACCCCTCTTCCTTCAAGTTAAATACAGTAATGGTGAAAAATTTGACTCTTCCGAAGATTGAAGTGTTGGTGAATAATATCCCAGCCACCGCACTCCTGGATACAGGCGCGCAGTGTTCCTGTGTGGCAGAAGATTTTTTTAGGAAATATTTTCGCAAATACCGCATATATAATTCGGATAATACGACAGTGTTAGCGGCGCAAGGAGAAAAATGTAAGTGCATAGGTAAAGTACCGTTGTATATCCGTATCAAGGACGAACAAGTAAAGGTGATGTTTTTTATAGTAAAGAATCTGCAAGCACATATTAATCTTAGGAATAGATTTTCTTTCAGAGCACAAGCAACGCTGGATTTTAATGAAGCGTCCCTTAAGCTGACAATGAAACCAGTTCGTGAGAAAAGGCTGAACCGCCGATGTTAAAACTTGACCACCTGCCTAATGACAGAGCAAGGAAGAATCCGACAAGTGGTAAGTGAATTTGCTTCGTTATTTAGTGATATTCCAGGATTTACTCAGGTTACTAACCATAGTATTGACACCGGAGATTCAATGCCAGTTCGCCACAAACCATACCGGTATGATAAGAATAAGGAAAAAATTATAGAATGGCATATTACCGATATGCTACGTAAAAAGATCATAACGCCCATCTCAAGTAGTTATGCTAGCCCGGTGGTTTTATGTAAGAAAAATAATGACTATCCTTTGACACATCCAAAAAGGTGGAGATTCGCATTGACTACCGTAAATTAAACTCCATAACTAAATATCCGGTATATCCGTTACCTATTATTGAAGAAATTCTAAGGAACATAAAATCAACCAAATATATGACGACTTTAGACTTAACGACTGGTTATTTTCAAATAGGGGTTAGGCCTGAGGACGTGCCTAAGACTGCTTTTATAACCAAGTCTGGCACTTATGCATTTTTGCGTATGCCGTTTGGCCTTTCAGGGGCCCCGGCAACATTTCAGCGATGCATGGACATTGTGTTAAGACCTGTTCTTGGAAAGTCCACATTTATCTATTTAGACGATATCATTATTACTAGTGATAATCTCGACCAACATGTACAGGATTTAAGACAGGTGTTTTCTTTATTAAATGAGGCCGGTCTAAAAGTTAATGTCGAAAAGTGCAAATTTGCAGCCCCTGAATTAAAATATTTAGGTTACAAAATATCTCAGAAAGGAATAGAGACAGACGAATCAAAAATAATCGCTGTACAAAAGTATCCGACTCTAAACACGGCGAAGAAGCTCTCTTCTTTTCTAGGACTTGTTTCATATCATACGTCCTTTATAAAAGATTTTGCAGCTATCGCTGAACCATTGTTAAAATTAAAAAGGAAAAAGGCAAGATTCTCGTGGACGGCCGAAGCCAATAGTGCTTTCGAAAAATTAAAACAAGCATTAACGCAAGCCCCTGTGTTGAAATTTCCTGAAAAGGATGAGAATTTAGAAATTTCAGCGGATGCTTCGGATTATGCGGTAGGAGCGGTACTTTCGCAAAATCAGCAGCCCGTGGCATTTTTTAGCCGAACTTTAAATCAAACACAAAGAAACTATTCCGCGACCGAGAGAGAGGCACTTGCAGTTCTGTTAGCAGTGCAAAAGTTCCGAGTCTATTTTGGAAAGGCGCCGAATAACAGTGTACTCTGATCATGCGGCGGCGGTAACTAGATTGTACTCAGGGAAAAACTTATCCCCAAGGTTAATAAGATGGGCACTCAAGCTACAAGAATATAATCTGGTAATCAAGCATACCCCCGGAAAGGAAAATATCGTAGCAGATGCCCTATCCAGAATTAAAAATAGATGAACAAGGTAATACCGTAAAGGTGGCAATGCTCACAGCATGTACAATAAATTCCCGAGAAACTGTAATAACCGAACTGGGTAAGGATCCTGAGTTTGGAAGCATTTATGAGTATTTAAAGGATCCTGAAAATTTTAGCCACCAAGATATTGTGGCGATAAGAAATAGGGCGGCCCATTACGAACTAATAGATGGTCTATTATTCTATACAAAAACTACGAATTCCAACAACGAATTTCGACCTGTTATCCCAGCTAGTCTTAGATTAAATATCCTGCAGGAGATCCATGACAGCCCTTTAGCTTCTCATGCTGGTATTCGAAAAACTATCCAACGCGTACGCGAAGCAATGTATTTTCCTGAACTGCAAAAGTTAACAAGGGCGTATGTCCAGTCCTGCCCAACATGTCAAGCAGTTAATTATATTAATTTCCGCCCGGGCCGGGTTTCTAAATAGTATTAAATCCGAATTTCCAAATGAAATAATTGGCATCGATTTATTGGGCCCTTTCCCAAAAAGTCAGTTAAATAAAAGTCGCTATCTCCTTGTTATGGTTGATCATTTTAGTAAGTGGACCGAAATTGTTCCCTTAAAACGAGCCTCCGCGAAATTAGTTACTGATTCTATTTTAAATAAATATATTTTAAAATACGGGGCGCCCCTAAAAGTTATATCGGATAATGGTCCTCAATTTGTAAGTAATATATTTGAAGACATGTGCCAAAAACTGGGCATACGTCATTTAAAAATGGTCCCGTATCGGCCGCAATCAAATATAGCGGAACGGGTCAATAGAAATATAGTGAAAATTATCCGTAGTTATGTTAAAAATTTTCATAAAAGCTGGGATAACTATGTCAATGAATTTGCTTTCGCCCTTAGGACCGCAAAACATGATACAACGGGCAAAACTCCTGCTGAGTTATTTTTAGGCAGAAAGATTATAACGCCGTTAGATAAATTATTTTATGTGCAACAAAGAGCCCCAGAATTTAAAATGGGTGATATAGAAAAACTTAATTAAAGAAGCAAAAAAGAATACTGAAGTAGCACAGAGAAAACAAAAGCTGTATTATGACATTTGAAACGACGGGGAGTAACTTATAAAGTAGGGGATGAAGTTTTAAAAATTAAGCATTCACTTTCTTCAGCACCAGAAGATAAAACTGCCAAATTTTTTCCACGATTTGAAGGACCATATGTCATAGAAAAAAATAACTCACGCTGTAGTAGGTGTTAAAAGCCAGAAATGGTGAAACCTGCTCCGCAAACATTGATCAAATCAAAACCCTACTATGATCGTAATAAAATGCAAATATTTTCAGATCTTTTGCAGGATCCGGCACGGCAGACACCGCAGGCACAAGCTCCAGAGGTGGAACAACGACAAGTACAAGGGCAAGCCATTAAGAGGCAGGAGCAAGTGAAAAGAAAGTTTCCCGCCGGAAAATTGAAGGTAACAAGAAAAAGAAGCCGTTCCACCGTCCAGAAAAGA